ACATGATGGTTGTATGTGTGCTTAAGAAAAAGAAACACCCGGTTAACACAGAAATGTGGAAAGTGTGATTTTACAACCCCCCCCCCCCCCCACAAAAAAGCGAAGGATATGTTCAGTATGTGTGGACAATTTGACCCTATAAAATTGTTCTGTTAAATAAATGTTAAAGGTGCTCTGTCAATGTGCAACAGCTACACACGAAAGAAAGTATCTTGAATTCAATCCTTGCTTTCACCGGCAACCAATGAAAGTCGTGCAATGTAAGTCGAAATTTCGAGTTAGTAAGTCGAAATTTCGAGATAAGTAACTCGAAATTTCGAGCTAGTAAGTCGAAATTTCGAGTTAATAAGTCGAAATTTCGAGTTAGTAAGTCGAAATCGAGATAAGTAACTCGAAATTTCGAGTTAGTAAGTCGAAATTTCGAGTTAGTAACTCGAAATTTCGAGTTAATAAAAAACATACACCTGGCACTAATGCTCTTCCGTACTTATCTGTGATATGCAGGCTTCATAACTTCTGATCCCCTTACAAAATTCCATTTTAATTAGTTCCGCCCATTGTTTTCTCGTTTAGGGCACACGCATTGTTTTTACTTTGGAACCATATGCCGCTTTTCATGGAATGGCACTTACGTGTCACATTGAAAGTTTCATGATAACCGCCATATGAACACATCTGCGGATGTTTAAACATTCAAAATTGTACCAGTTTATGTTAAATGTTGAATTCTGCTTTAGCCGGTACTAGAGGGCGTAGACGGTAGTTTGCACTTGACAGTACGGTCCCTGAACAGGCTCAATCAAACCGAGCCGGCAACATTTTCAATTTGGTCGTGTTGGGCTTATTTAGGGATTCTTATTATCTCTATTTTATATGTGCCAGCTAGAAAAAAAATTGTGAGAAAAGGAAACAGAATGCAGTTGAATCTTATATTACTAATAATTATTGTGCATTTACCTTAAAATGACAAAAGATCATTTTCTGCATGTGAAGAATTAGCAGTTGCATGTTTTGACCTAGATGGTTTACTCAAATCTAAAAGGTTTTTTTCTTCTTTATACGAAAAGTGTTGTCTCAAAAGTTTTAACTTTATTGTTTGTAGAGCTGCATTAGAAATCAGTTTTTGTGTTTTATATTTAGAAAGATAAAATGCTGAAAGTAAAAACATTTCATTCTGTAGCTCGCACAGATTCTTTGAAAAATTGTATACATAAAATGGGAATTATGGCTCTCATGTTCTAGGTGAAACAGCATAAAAAAGATTAGAGTCTATGCAACATCCCTGCGGTCTGCAAAAATTTGTTTGTTTGTTTGTTTTTTGGTTTTTCGTCACATCGACACAGTATAGGTCATATCGCGACGTTCCAGCTTTACTGGTGGAGGAAGACCTCAGGGGGCCGTGCATTATTTCAGGCACGAACGGGCACCTGAGTAGAACACCGACGTTCCGTAAGCTAGCTGGATAGCTTCCTCACATGAAAGAATCCAAAGTCCAAAAATAGGTAAAGGTACGAGGACGAATGAAGCCGTGTAAAGTGAGAAAAGTAACAACCGATAACTTCTTTGACTTAAAAGCAATTTCTGAAAATCTAATTCATTTTGATCACGATAGTAACCGAAAAATTGTTTAGTATACAAAAAGACACTACAAAACTGTTCAAAGTTTCAGTTACAATCTATCAACAAGAGCGATCATTGATCACATGTGTTGCCTCATGATAGCCATAACTTGGCAAAAAATTATTCAACCTAAAATCCTGTGTACTATGCACAAGAATTTGAGCTACCGATTAATCCTGTAAAGCTTTCATTGAACTTGCATTAGTGGTATAACCGGAGTAATACAGACACTTTTTAAAATAGAAAATCATACTAAGGCCAAAACTCTGACAAAAATCAATGGTATTGATCATTCCCCTAAAGTTTTGATAAAATTGCACAAGTAGTTTCTGAGGAGCAGATCAGATAAGATTGTGTGAAAATTGCAACACAAAATACACCTTTAAAATTCAAGGGCAATAACTCAGGCAACAATCGTTCAAGCGAAAACTGTATTATGTGCAAGTTCTTAACCTACCAATCATTCCTGTAAAGTTTCATTGATTATATAAGTGGTATAAGAGGAGTAGTCCGGACAATTTTATTAACACCTTTTTTCATTCAAGGGCCATAACTAAGCAAAGAACATTCCAGCCAAAAACCGTGTAATATGTGCAAGTACTTGACCTCCCTATCAATCCTGTAAAGTTTATTAAAATTACATGAGCGGTATAAGAGGAGGGAGTAGTGTGAACAAACTTTAGGAATAAGAATTATTAAAGGGCCGACAAAAGTCATTGAACGGGATAATTTGCACAACTCGACTTGGTACAGATCATTGCTGTAAAGTTTGGATGAAATTGCACCAGTAGTTTTTGAGAAGTAGTCAGGACAAGTGTATCCGGCAACACACAAATAAATCTTTTTTGTTCCAAGGGCCATAACTCGGCCAATTAAATCATTGCAAAGTTTCATTGAAATTGTATTAGTGGAATAAGAGGAGTAGTCCGGTCAAACTTTAAAAATTAAATTATTAAAGGGTCATAACTCTAACAAAAATCATTGAACCGAAAAATGCTGACAATAGGCAAACTAAAGTTAGAACTTATCAATCCTGTAAAGTTTGATGAAATTGTACCAGTGGTCGGTGCAATTTTTGTGGCAGACAGAGGGACGGACGGACAGACAAACGACGGAGAAGTGATCCCTATAGGTCGCAACTACTCTGTAGAGGCGACACAATAAATGATGACTAAATGGTCTCTGTACACATCTTCTGTTTTTATCTTAACTTTGATCCCTTTTTAAAATTCCATATTACTTAGTTCCGCCCATTGTTTTCTCGTTTAGGGCACCGCATTATTTACTTGAGGACCATATGCCGCTTTTCATGGAATTGCACTTACGTGTCACGTTGAAAGTTCCATGACAACAACCATATGAACACATCTGCAGTTGTTTCAAAATTCAAAATTGTACCAGTTCATGTTCAATGTTGAATTCTGCTTAAGCCGGTGCTCGAGTGCGTGGACGATAGTTTGCACTTGACATTACCGTCTATGAACAGGCTCAATCAAACCGAGCCTGCAACATTTTCAGTTTTGCCGTGTTGGGCTTTCTTTAGGGATTCTTATTTTCTTTATTTTGATCTCTCTATGTGACCTTGACTTTGGATTATGCGCACAATACTTTCATTGTTGATCTTGTTTATCATTTAATAGCCTCACAATGGTGAACATCTGTGCCTAGTTAAATTAAGATCCGCTGATGAATGAATAAGTTTTGCTGGGAACAAGCATTTTTCAATGACTTAAACCATTAACCTAGAGACCTATTTTTTGACACTGCTTCTCATAGTGGTGAACATTTCTATGAAGTTTCATTAAAATCCCTCCATGCGTGTAGGAGATATGCTCCGGACACAACCTGTTTATTTCATCATATTTTGTGACATTGACATTGAATATATTGACTAAAATTACAAGTGTCACAGCCGTGTAATGATTATTGTAATTTGTGTTACAAAATGTACAATCTCTAAATAAATGATGGCTAAATGGTCCTTATGCAAATCTTCATATTTTTACCTGAATTTTAACCTCTAAGTTTGACCTTGAGCTTGGCTGCAGGGGCCGGAATTTTACACGCGACACTGCCTCATAATAGTTGAACAGTTTGAACAGTTTATTGAAATTACTAGGCCTCATAGTCACATATACAATAATAAACATATAATATGAAATATCATAAAAAGAGTGTCACAAAATATACTACTGTACTACATGACAAATATATATCAAAAACGAAAGTGTTACATTATGAAAATAAGCTTAACTATCAGTTACTTAATTAAATGCTGGTATATTTTTTACATTTTTAAATAAAACTTTACAAGTTTTAACAATAAACTCCTATCTGTGCTAGTCATTAAGCTAGAAAACTTGATTGAATAAACATGAGTACCATACTCTCTAGTAATATAATTTTTTCCTATCAATATTAAAGAATTGACAATTAAATAAGTAATGATATTCATCACCAAGTGAGCTAGTATTGCATAAGTTACACACTCTTAATTCTCTTGGTATATAACAAATTCTACCAGGCTCAATAGGAAATTTATGGTTCATACATCTAAAGCGCAACAGTACCAAAGCTATAAATGAGCTAGTAAAATATCTAAAAACTTTTCAAATCTGAATTCACTTTTGTACATTCTGTAATTCAGACATTTACTGGATTCTGACATTTCACAATGCCAATTTTGAATAAACTGATCTTTCAGACTATTTTTAACAATTTTCTTAAACAATGGAAGAGAGACGTGAGTAAATATAATAATATTGTAAAATCTTTTATAAATATTCATATGTGAGTAGTTTGCTTCTAACGTATGTAATAAATTATTTAAAGATCCTGTAACACATTTTTTTCATGGTTTTATTCATAAATATGATGCTAAAATTAAGATTTGTCAATATTATAAGTTCAAATAAGCATTATTTATAAAGATATAACCCAATTTAACATTTCATGTAAATAAAGGGAGGTAATTAGAAATTTATTTTCTATAAATTCTAAGTCAAATTTTCCAACAAGAAATGAATGCATGTAATTTATTGATTAAATATAATGTGCACAAATATTTGCAGTACACATTTTACATATTCTTCGAAGTTTGAAAATTGTTTTATTTGCATATTTATATACTTATATAATTTTTTGCAAGTGTGATATACACACAGTAACAATATCAATAGGATCTTTAAATGTACTTTTAAAAAATGTCTATAACAAAAATATCCTATAATTATTTGTTTATATACATGTATGTATCAAAATTAAAAATAATTATGACGGACACGATATGTACAGATAAAATAAAAATCAGTTTTTGAAAGCCCGGAGGAATTTCTAACGATTTGTTTAATTATCATTTTGTCTAGATCGAATTGATAACACAAAAAAAACTTGTTTTGTCATATGTCATTAATTGAATACACCAACATGAGCAAAGATGTTAAAATAAGGAGCATTCAAGTAAGTGTATATTATTTTTTTTGGCAATATTTAATTTTTCCATATTCTGCTCTCTCTCTATATAGATAACGTTCATGTGTATAGTAAATGAAACTGTAATTATTTTATTAATAGATAGAATATTCATTAACGTTCCACAGCGTTGGTGCTACTGTTCTTAATCACCGGTCAGCGAAAAGTTCGTATTCATTTAATGATGGTGACAACGTGACATATGGAACGATGATCTAAGCCTAGAGTCAACTAACTCTATTAATAATAAACAACACAAAAAAGCTATCATGCAATTGCTTAAAGGCACTTTATGCTTCAGACGAATACATTTGAGCCGCGTCACGACAAAACCAACATAATGCGTTTGCGACCAGCATGGATCCAGACCAGCCTGCGCATCCTGATCAGGATCCATGCTGTTCGCTTACAACTCTATAACAAGTAGAGAAACTGATAGCGAACAGCAGGGATCCTGATCAGTCTGAACGGATGCGCAGGCTGGTCTGGATCCATGCTGGTCGCAAACCCATTATGTTGGTTTTGTCATGACACGGCTCATGTTTACTTCTTTAGAAAGGGAAAATGAGTTTAATATCGTTTAGATAATGATTTAAGGTTATGAAAGATGTCTGTTACTCGAAGAAAGTAGCGCTAAATGTTAAATAATATGTCATAAAAGTAGCAAAATGTAAACAAAAGTTGTATTTTGACTTCCATATAAAATACTATATATGTACATTGAATGTTTGCTTGCAAACACGTTTCAGGAACGACTTATGCAGATTTCTTCAATTTCAAATGATATAATTTGAAAAGTGATTGTAAATTGTCGTGATGTAAAATGCATTTCGTTTCCAGGATTGTTTAAAAAAATATTGTTTGTACTGTCACGAACAAAAGGCGATGTAAAGTAAATACTAATATATTGAATTTTGAGGATAAATCAACGCGGCATAAAAAAAATCATGCACACGTATGGTGGCTTATTTCTGCCATTTCTTGATTTTGATAATGCCAAGTCTGAATTGTTTACTTTGTAAATGGGTTACACGGTAAAAGAAATAAACATACTGGTTGTTACTTATCATATTCGTTTTGTTTCTTTTTTTCAGTCACAAACAAAAATGCAATGTTCGACAAGTTGCGGAACACCTCCGATAGTTTGCGGAGCCTTTTTTGCACTTTTCTTTGTGATATCTATGATGGTTTGTCTTCAACAGATTAACTCTGACTCACAAGTACCTCAACCTCAAGCAGTATATGCAAAGAGAGAAAGTAAGTATGCTAAAACACGCAAGACGAAACAATTGATAAAAAAGAAAACAATTGTTTTAAAGTTATGTCATGCAACAATAAAAAAATTACCCATTTTCTAAGATGAAACGGTCTTTTTTGACACTCGTTCATTTTCATTTACTTTCATTGTATAAAGTATGTAAAAAAAATTTACAAGGGTATTATATAAATTTATAAAACAGGTTTTTGATTTCAGGCGCAAACTTCCACCGTAAGCGAAATAACAGGAACAATGGTCAGGTTGAAGATACCCGAATAAAACTTAAAGATGAAGATGAAGAAAAACAATTAAGAAAAAGTAACAAAAGAAGACAAAAAGAGGAAGATATTGTAGAAGCACTAAGTGTACAAACTACGAAAGAGAAAGATGATAAAACAAAGGCGATTGAAATAAAGAGTCAAAAAGAAAACGATAAAGAAATTACCAAGCGAAGAGAGAAAATACAAACTGAAAGAATAGAACATTTTAGAAAACAATGCCAATCATATCATTTAGACTCAAATAGTAATGGAGATGAAGGTCTTAAAGTTCTGTATTCTAAAAAGTACAAACTTGCTTACAGGCTCGTTCCTAAAGTAGGTTCAACATTTATGATACAAGTGTATTCCATATTAAAAGACTATGGAAACACCAAAAAGGTTCTAAACCTTTCAAGAGGTGACATTCACAATGGAAGAGCTGATAATTTCCGTAAAATTATGTCTTTGAAAAGTTTGAAAGATTATACAGTGTTGATCATGGCAAGAAACCCATATTCTCGTTTATACTCTGCGTATGTAGACAAGATTTATATTTTAAACACTTTCAGTTTATGCAAGGACGTCATTTCAAAACTGTTTGGAACTAATGCACAGAAAAATAACTGTAAATTTGATATTTCGTTTGAACAATTTCTTGAATATTATTTAGAAAAAGGGGGACATTCTGAAGAAGGTCATTATGGGCCAATAGTGTCTAAAACTATTGGGAAGAAAATTTGTAACCTTGAAAATATCATAATTGTTAAACAAGAGACATTTTCTGATGACGTTGACCACGCATTCAAAACTGTGCACGTGAAAGGGCGAGAGTATAACGCAATTTACGACTCGCTGAATTCCAAGAACACTGAAACAAACATTGCTAGTATCGTGAAAACAGTTTATAATAAGTTCTCGTCATATATACAACGAGGATCCTGCTTGACTTGGAAGAACATTGCTAAGAAGCTGTGGAAATCATTTCAAATACAAGGTTACATACGTGACAGATCCAATTTTCCTGAAACAAAATATGAAAATTCGGATGATTACAAGAGCGCTGAATATCTTATTAAAGTTATAATGCAAGAAGTTGACGCAAAACCATTAACACATCAAGAAAAAATGGAACAAAGAAACAATGCTTTGATGAAGGCGTATTCAGGTGTTAACAAGAAATATTTACGAGAAATACAAGATCGGTACGCTATGGACTTTAATTTGTTTCAATATGGAACTAATCTGAAAGATGCCCTTAGCTAAAAACAAAAACAAAGCACATTAATTATATTTATTATTCTATCTTCAAAATATTTTTTGCAGGGCCACGGGAACCGTTGAAGCTAAGTCTGAAATTGTCTATGTGACTTTATTTACTGTTTCACTCACTGATAATTGTATGCTATGGTTTCAAAAATAAAAAGCTAGAAGGAAATTTGATAGCATTTTTTTCATCTATGCCCCCTCCCCCACTCCCAATAAACGCCCCCTCACAATATTGCCAGGAGAAATACTAATTAAAATCGTTAAGATGCATATTCAGATAATGCATGTATATTTTTTACAATACAGCCCCTGTTTCCATCGGTCCGAAATGGTTATCCGAGCATCGTCATACATGATAAAATGACCGTTGTTCATGGTACTAGGGGCGTGGACGGTAGCTTGCAACTACCACTATCGTCATTGAACAGGGTCTGCAATATTTTTGATTTTGCCATTTTTTGGCGTTCTTTACGGATTCGGTTTTCCGTAAAATATTCAACATACTTGAGATGCAATTTTAGTAATAAGCCATAAGTAAGTTGTATCATAGTTTGGGGACCTTTCTGTTGAAAATGTGTCAGAGTTAAATCGTATACATATACATGCAGAGTGCGGTAACTGGAGTGCAGGTATCAGTTACCCGCACTCCAGATCATGCCCATTGATTGGTTCATTTTTGCTGGGGTTTACATATTGTGACGGCAGAGAAAGGGAAAGCGACAGAAATATCATATTCAGATGTTCGTTCATTGGTTCATTTTTGCCAGGGTTTCATATTGTGACAACAGGGAACGTGTTTTTATGTTTGACTATGATACAAAAGAGAAAGAACACCAAAACACTCGGCAATCTAATTAATACTCGGGGGCTACGCCCCCTCGTACAAATCAGATAGCCTCGTGTTTCGGTGCTCTTTTTATTACTTATTCCTTTACATTATTTTACTTATTTTACATGGCAGATTTCGCGGTCACAATTCCTAGTTTATTCATTCTAAAGTAGTCTCGCTCTTCGAAATAAATTATGCTGATACCAATAGAGAAGCTTGTTTTCTAATGTGATTTATTTCATCTTCGCCAGATATCGGAATGCAATGAAATTTGAACGGCGTCTGGCACGGACATTCTTTCCCTTTTAAATCATTATGCAGTGTACATGGCGAGTTTTCCCAGTCGTACAGCTTTTTCTGGTTATTATTACAATTCACTACAGCACACTGCCTTCCACCACCTCGTTCATAAGGCATAATTACTGGCTTTTATCAAAAATATTTTATAACTTGGTTAAAGTGTTTTTACACCCCCGTAATGGCGGATGTGGAGATTGAAGAGTATTTTTCAGGGGAGACAACTTTTGCGGAAAAGCAGAGATAACATGTCTATAATTGAAGATGTTGAAATTAGATGAAACCACCTGTATTGACCGCGACATGTCCAGATATGTAATGATGAGCTAAATACATGCATGCATATTGAAAAATGTTTTCATTTCTGTTTGTTCTTTTCTCAGTATTTTCAACCCTATATATATAGGCAACTTCGTAATCAATACCTTTTTTAGTACTTAAGTTTGTACAGGTGGTTTTGATTATGTAACATTCAAATGTTATTTTCACTTGATCGTTACTTGTTTATCCAGTATTGATAAATAACAATCTTTTCAAAAATAACGTATGACTAACCATAGAAAATTATGCAAAGTATTTAAACTAGACTCCAAGTCAAGAATTTTCACAATTTTTGTTGATTATAAATAATAAGAATTGAAGTGTATAATTAACCGAAATAGTTCATAGCTTAACATGTCTTTATTAAAACAAAATTGTTATTTAAACGCTGTGTGAAAAAGATTATGCAGGCCAAACATATATGGCAATAATCTAACATGTGAGTGCAAAGCAATAAACGCAAAACAAAAGCTGCATGCCTCTATATGAGTAAAAATATTTCAAGAAAATGAAACTAGAGAGAAATGTATTAAGATTTTAAGAAAAGTAAAGAAATTCAAGATTCGTGTAAAATAATTTACATGCTATGTGTCATTAATGACTGATTTTGCAGTATTTATCAGCATAGTTCTACTGCGTGACTAACGCTGTTAGGGCGATTTTTTTGTATATTTTGACCTCTTTTTGGTAATTAACGTTGATTGAAAGTGCCGTTTACAATGTTTAAATTACTTTCTTTGTTCATCTCACAATATTTTACTCAATACATTTTCAAAATTTTCATTAAAATTATCATTAAAATTAGCATAAATCTAGAGGCATGCTGCTTTAATGACGTTAATATATTTCTCTGTTGTCAATTTAAAAAAAAAAGAGACAAATAAAGACAATGTATTATCAGTTTACAGTCAACACATTACTACATTTTACAGATGGTATTTGTGCATTTCTCCCTCCTTTCCCCGTCCTTGCATATCTCTTAAATTTGGTTTCGCGTCATCCTTGGTGTCTTGCTGGTGTGGTGTACCGTCCATGAACAGGCTCAATCAAACCGAGCCTGAAACATTTTCAATCTTGCCATGTTGGGCTTACTTTAGGGATTATGTTTTCGTTTGAAACGTCACCTTGACTTGTTGATCTTTGTTTTGTACTTTTACATGTAGAAGGAAAATCGCTAGGAAGTATTTAAAAGTAACAATATAATATAATTATAATAACTTGATTCACATAATTTTACAAATACATGAGTGACATGATATATATAAATAAATAAATTTATTTTATAAATAAACATAGGTCAATGATGGCATAAAGTATGAAAGCTCATCTTTTATGTGATATGTCATAGATAAATAACGTTGTATGAATATATAGAGGATATTTGTTTGTTTGTGTGTAAGATGAAATTTTATTTCATCTCGTTGGCTTTAAAAACAGTATTCTCACGAGTGGAGAAGCCACGAGTGAGAAATACTGTTTTTAAAGTTCACGAGATGAAAAAAAAATTACATCTTACACAACAAACAAATAAATTTTCTTTTTATTTTATGCTTAAAAACAAGTTAAAACGAAATTTAAAATTGGTTGTGATTGAAAGCACTGCCATGAAACAACGACTTAAATGAGCTAAGAAATAGTAATGTTATAAGTAGCGATACCAATTTAGTAATCATAAACCAGTAAATTTATGAGTTTGATTAATTCTTAATCAAATTATTGAAGTGTAACGGATGTGTTGTTTTTACCAAAAATGTGTTTATAAGTATGGTGTTTGAGCGTTTACAAAACATTTACTGGTGGATATTTTTCGTGAATGTTGACGATTATGTAATAAAATATAACCTAAAATGACATTATGTAGCCAAATTTTCAATAACGCGTGTAACTGCCACTTGCCCGGATGATAGCCTCATTCTACTACCAGTAAGGTGTCTATTGCGATTTTGAGGTAAATTTTGCCTTCTTGGTGCAGAGCAGGTTGACTACAGGTGGTTCGTACCATTGCCCAAATAAAATTTAAAATTTCAGTTGTGGTCATGTCAAAATTGAGGCAAAATACCGGGTATGAGGAGAAGGATTGAGGCTATCATCCGGACACGTGGCGGTTACACACGTTATTTATAACTAAATGCACTGTGTTAAACTTTTCGCCATAAAAATAAGTGTCTGATCCTGGGAATTAGTGACCAAGCCATACGTCTTTGGCAAAACATCAAGACAATACGGTGTTCCGTTTGGCCAATCGTGATTTTTTTTGGTGAAAACACGATGGTACGATAGCACGATGATGAAAACACGATGGTACGATGGTGAAAACACGATGGTACGATGGTGAAATCGCGATGTCGTGATGGTACGATGGTGTAAACGCAATGTTATATCTATAAAATAATCGATAAAATAGGTATCAGTCCACCATGGCATTGATTCATTCAGTAGCATGGCTATGTTTACTCGAATATTAATCGAATTTGATTGTCTACGGTAACACATTTCATCGCCATGTTTCACCGCCATGTAATAGGTTAAATATCAATCTTACTGTCGGTGCCCTACTCAGCATATAAAATTTAAGGCAGCTGTCGGAACGTGACTTTTGCTTTATTTACACCAAGTTTAAAACTCATTTCCACAGTTATCTGTGTTCTGCCTTTTCAAAAATTAACATATACTTATTGTTAATTAGCCATATATTGGATTTTTACTTACAAACAATTTTTAATAAATAATGTTGTAATCTAAATTGTACAAGAACACACTCACGTTTGAAATGCCCTAGGGACTATTTAATAGTCTACAATTTGTTGATATCGATCTTTTAGTACAAGTTATCTTGTTGGAAAACTTTCAAACATTTTTTTTTATATTATACAAATAGGATTTTTAAAGGTATGTTTTAATAGTATATTTTACGTTATTTTTCTTTAAATGTACAATAAAGGCAAACAATTTGAATACTAACAAGGTTTTGTTTGTTATTTTTGTGTAAATTACAAAGATACATGTATAAAGTGTTGCTCAAATAGTAAATTATTCGTTTACTTTTTTCCGCACCTTTTGATAGAAAGCTGTTGAAATATGTAACCATACTTACGGTACAGGAGTATTGATGGAAGGATTGATTTCATAATTATCTGTTAATCAAGCTATCTTTTTAAAATCTAATAAATAAATAATTTGTTAACTTTGAGTAATGAATTATCAGTCCATATGAATGTTAGATAATCTCACAAGAAAAATACAAAAAATGAGTGGCCAACAGTTGAAATCCTGGTCAGACCCTACGGATGTGCAGACTGGTCTGCCCGTATACTGTAGCCAAAGGCTGATCACTTCCGGTTTAAGCAGGGCATGGGTTACCTGGTTAACCAAAATCAGAATTATAGGACATTTACAGATAATACCTCATTTACTTCAACTTTTATATATGAAATCATAATAAATGCAAATGCTCATTTTAAGAAATGACTCTTTAACTTTAACTGTATAACTTTCCTAATCAAATTTTTCAATCTTTTACAAAAAAAAATAGAAATGGACAAAATGGTAGTGAAATTGACACATGATTTTTGATGTTTAAATTTTTAACATACACTGCCACATGCATCACAAATATATTAGAAAAAGGCACACATTTAAAGTACAAATCTTATTTACCACTTATGATCAATGACAGTTAAAGCTGCAATTTTGCTCTCAGGACTTTTGATTTACGTTCATGGGGTATCAGATTCACATTCAAACAAACACATGCGCATGTGTGTTGTCTTTATTAACCATGTCAATGAATTCAATATTTTCTATTATTCCTTCATTTTATAAACATTTTATATTGTATATTTCTAATCCAGAGTTATGGTTTGTCCTTTACCTTTGCGAGCGGCACCTAGCAAACGAGGAATCTTGTTCGTCAGCATAGGTTTTCTTTCAATATTATTTTGTATGCAGCAAATGGCTTCAGATGCAACCATATGCAAAAGAAGGAGTAAGTGTTATGCGTTTCTATGTTATGTTTGCAACTTTCAAACACATGTCCCTCATGGTTGAAATATGTTAAATGCGGTCTTGACAGCTGTTTGCTTCAGTGTTACTTTAGATAAGATATATTTGTTTATCTTTGCAGGCTTTTTGTTTAGCTATTCAACAAATTAATGAACTATGCTTTGTCCATTTAAACTATTTTATCCAATCGTGAATTATAGATAAAAATTACCAATCTCCTTTACATTTTAGGTTCAAAATTTAAAAACAAAGATAAAAATGGTTGCCATGTTCCATTACGAGGAAAAGAAATTCCACAATCAGAGAGGATACAACATTTTAGAAAACAATGTGAAACATATAACTTGCAAACTAACAATATAACCAATGACGCCTTAAGTGTTTTGCATTCGGAGAAATACAAGTTGGCTTACAGAATGGTTCCTAAAGTAGGATCAACATTCATGATACAAGTTTATAAGATTTTAACTGACAATACAAGTGCTAAAAGAATGTTTAAATTATCTCGGAACGACATACATGACGATCAAGTAAGACAAATGCGTACAATAATGCCTTTAGATCAATTAAACGCATACACTGTCTTAATCATGGCGAGAAACCCATACTCACGATTATATTCAGCATATATTGATAAAGTGTATATTTTAAACACCTTACACTTATGTAAAGACATACTTTTGAAACAAACGTTTCAGAGAATAGAGCAAAAACGTTTATGTAAATTTGATATTTCGTTCGAACAGTTTCTTGAATACTATTTTGAAAATGGTGGAACTTCTGAACAAGGCCATTATGGTCCTATCATATCACACGATGTTGGTAGAAAAATATGTAGCCTTAAAAATATAATGATTGTTAAACAAGAAACGTTTTCTGAGGACATAGATCACGCGTTAGATGCAGTAAATATGAAAGGGGTAGAGTATGATACAGTTCATGGTATTTTGCATTCCAAAAATATCGAGTCAACAATTGGTGGCATTGTAAAGACAGTTCACGCTAAGTTTGTATCGTTTATACAAAGAAATTCTTGCTTAACTTGGAAACATATTGCCAGGAAACTATGGAATTCTTTTCAAATACAAGGATACATTAGTGAAAAGTCTGAATTTCCACAAACGAAATTCACGAAACTGAAAAACTCCAAAAGTTCAAAATATCTTATCAACGTTATAATGCAGGAGGTGAAGAAAAATACGTTGACACATGAGAAAAAGATAGAACAAAGAAACAAAGCTTTGTTGAAGGCCTATTCGGGTGTGAACAAGAAATATTTACATGCAATACAAGAACGTTATGAAATGGATTTTAATATGTTTCAATATGGTACTGACTTAAGGGATGTATTGAATTAATTTTTTCTTTTTTTATATATGAATTACTGGTTTTATTTTTTTCTCTTAGGTTCCAATATATTTCAATTTAATTTGAGGTATCAATAGTGTTTCGTTTGCTGTGTATAATTAATGACATTTCATTAGTTACAAATTACTGGTGTATACTTGCATATATCTGCATTCTATGTCCTGCAAATTTTCCTGAGAGGTTGTCCATTTTTTAGGAAGTTTATATTATAATTCTAATTATGATTAAAACCTGCATATTTGTATCAATGGCTAAATAACTTGCAACCATGTTACGTTAACTTGACTTTGAAGAAGGAAAAGAAATAATAACAGTTGATATAGAAATGTGATAAAAAGCAAATTTGTATAAGGTTATTAAAATTAAGCAATATGATAATTGTTTATTGCACCTAGCTTAAGGCAAATTAGGACAATGTTAAAATATTTTAGAGGGTAAAATACTTTTAGTGGGTAAATAACATCGGCTTCTTTAAACAGAACGAAACACCATAATAAAAAAATGTTTCAAATAATGAAAATATTCAATAAATATAAAGTGGAAATCTTAATAAACTTGATAAAAATCTTGTGATCACAAAATTACAGCTTTTATATTCTAATTGAAGTTATAATAATAGTGATTTTTTGTCTTAAGTACGACAGAATGATTGAAATACCCTGAGGACCATTTGATTTATAATTACATTTTATTTTTATTGGTTGTGTTGATTTTGATCATTTAACATTTTAAAGTCATATTATTGCTGAATGATTTTAAAAAATCGGACTTTTCTAGTTATTCCGTATAGGTAGGTTATTTTTACGTATGCTGTATAGAAATATTACATAGAAAAGAATAAATTTTCCCTTCTCTAGAAAGAACAGACATCAGTTTTAGATCGTTTAAATTATGACTTTAGAGCTCGTTAGATGGTTAACCCGGTGAGGAACGTGACAATGACATCTTTGATCAGAATTTAGATACTTTCTGTGCTTTTTAGTACATGTAATTAACAAATTATCTGGTCCATCTTATTCCGACAAACAAGTTCTGTTCTCTCGTGAAACAAATGTGAAAAGAAAACACGACTAAAGTTCATTTTTAAACCCAGTAAAAGCAGATTACCAGTATCTTATGTTAAACTGATCTGGTACAAATAGTTGAATGATAGTATAATTTGTATAATTAAAGTGTTAAATTAAATGTTAATGTCTGCTTAAGCCGGTGCTAGAGGGCATGGACGGTAACTTGCTCTTTCCAGTACCGTTCATGAACACGCTTTTCTCTATATTTTATATGATTTGATATGTAACGTTTTCCGTTCAATAATCAAAGGGTTGATCCAAAAGTAATTTTAGCTTGATAAGATCCTCTTACTGCATTCTTATATATTCAGACCATTGATTTTTCTAATGATTTTTAAGGAAATCAGGAAATCATATAGTAATGTTCATCGTAATAAAAGCAGTTCGTTCTAGACATAGAGCTTTAATTAATAAACTCAGTGAAAGTTATAATTCACACATTTGTTGCTGTTTTTCATTCCCAGACAGATGGCTTTATTTGGACAGTGTTTCATTCACAAAATAAAATACATTGTAAACAATATGAAGGACGTAAACCTTGAATAAACACACAAATCACATGTTAATATTTCTTGTTAATTTTTAGAAACATATATGAAAACAAGTATTATTCGTAAATACAAATGTACTTATATTAATTCATCTCCTTTGGTGTTGGAAGAAATGACTGGATTTTGATCAGTAATGTAAAGTCTAAAGGGTAAAAAGATGTAATTAAAATATATAAAAAAGCTTTTGCTGCTACAACGCTAGATCACTGGTTTAAGAAAAAGCATAGTAAATTGACTATGATTCTGTAAAATCGCCAGCTATGACATAAAACGCCGAGTTGCAACAATAAAATTTTGAAAACCGTGGTATTTTCTTCAATTTTTAAGTTTTCAGAACTCGATGGCTTGGTGGTCACGTTTTCGAATTTCTCCATATGTATGGACGGTTCTGCTTCCTTTTATAGCTGTACTGTCTATGTTATTTTGTGCACAGCAGCTTCAACCAGACAGAATGCCAGAGCCTCAACCATCATACCGGGAGAGACAATGTAAGTTATACTAAGTCTATAAAGGATTTACTTTACATATTGTGCGGGTAGCTTTTCGAGAGACGTTTTTGTTCTCATACTACCGTGCCAATTAATTAGGAATGCAATGAGTCGCTATCATTTGAATAGAACTAGTTATATAGATCTGCATAATGTTTTTAAAGCGTTTCAAAAATTATGCTCACATTTAAAATTGAGGTTTTACAGATGGAATTTGGACGAGCGTTCATCAGTAAACCTAGCCATTGTTAATAGCCGCATTTTCGAAATAATGCAGATTCAACAAAGCATTCAAAACGGGTTTGTTTTTTTGTTTTTTTTTTGTTTTTTTTTTTTGGGGGGGGGGGGGGTATGATAAATAAATGTAGTAAATAGGTAAACTGAAAAAGTCTTTAGCCTCATTGTCTAATGACACGGTATTAATCTTATTTCATAATCCAAAGATATCAGGTTAACTTATACCATGCTTCAACCGATTTGATTGAGATAAGCGTCTTCCACCAAATATGGAATTATGAAGGCCTACGATTCTGCGAATCCTGCAATCTCACCAGCTCTAGACTAATGACTCAGCCCTTTTCATGTTCATATCCACACAACCACACAATAATAATGAAGCGTTACTAAAATGGAAGCTTATCATGTCCATAGTAGAATTTAAGAAGGTTATGGGTTAACGCTCGTATCAAAGCAGGATCGCAAATCCAACCAACAACTGATTTGACTAATATGAAATCATATTATCTATTCTAGATACGATATTTCAACAAGACGACAACCACAATAATTCAGCAGAAAGTTCTGTCTCAGATAAACTATTTTACATGAAACAACACTTCAAAAGCACAAAGGGAAAGTTTAAAAATCCACATAAAGAACGAGAACAGAATAATACAATGGATGACAACGTAATGTCTACACGACAAGACTTTGTTCAATTTGACAGGTTACAACAATTTAGGAATCAATGCGAATCATATAATCTCCTGACGAACAATACTAACAGTGATGAAGGTATGAAGGTCTTATATTCAAAGCAATACAGACTTGCTTACAGACTTGTTCCTAAAATTGGTTCGACATTCATGATACAAGTTTACAGCATTTTGGAAAACAATGGAAAGACTGGAAACTTGTTAAACTTACCTAGAAGCAGTATACATAACAAGCGAGTAGATCGTTTCCGTAAGATTATCAGTTTATCTAGTTTGAACACTTACACATTCCTCGTTATGGCGAGAAACCCGTATTCACGCCTATATTCCGCATACATTGACAAAGTTTATATATTAAACAATTTGAACTTGTGTTCTGACATACATTCCACACTCTTTCGAAAAAAGGAACGAATGTTTTTGTGTAAATTTGATATTTCATTTGAACAATTTCTTGAATACTACTTAGATAAGGGAGGTAGTGTACTGAGTGGCCATTATAATCCGATATTATCACATAAAATTGCTAGAAAATTGTGTAATCTTCAAAATATTATAATCGTGAAACAAGAAACATTTTCTGAAGACATGGACCACGTGTTCAAGTCTGTACACGTGAAAGGGAAGGAATATGACGTCATATATGACGTAATGCATTCTAAACAAACCAAGATAACAATTGGTAGTATAGTTAAGACTGTTTACCAAAGATTTTCCTCTTCTCTATCTTTGGTAACATGTTTGACTTGGAAAGAAATTGCTAAAAAACTGTGGAAATCATTTCAAATTCAAGGATATATAAATGAAAAGTCGCAATTTCCTGAAAAGAAATATCAGAATTTGAACGATTATAAAAGTGATAAATATCTTATTAAAGTAATACTGCAAGAAGTGCGAAGAAACCCACTGAGTCATGAAGAAAAAATAAAACAAAGAAATGAGGCTTTAATTAAGGCATTCACAGGCGTAGACAAGAAATATTTACGTAAAATACGGGAACTCTACGCCATGGACTTCAATATGTTTCAGTACAAGACTAATCTATTACAGACATTGACTTGAAAAAGAAACACAGGATAAAAAATAAATCAATATTTATTATCAAAATTAAAACTTGTTCCGGCTTTTGCTAAAACATATGATTATGCACCATTAGAAAGGGCATAACAATAAACATATAACTTACACCGATTTTTGGCGTATTACTATTCCATTATGGCGTATCACCATTGCTATATCTGCACTTTTGTGTTGACGATTTCAAACTATGCTTTTGATAAGTTATATATTGTATGCACTTACTTCCCTGGTTCAACGGAGAATGTGTATATAAAATGTTTAGACATGCCACATACGACGTCAGCAAAAACTGAAATAACGTCAAGTTAATCAACTTTTTAAACAATGTAGTGCTACTTTTCTTTCATTTTTCCGCATTTACATACGTTTATTTTGTATTTACCCAGGGATTGAACTTCATATGGGTCTTAGAATATAGCATGAGTGCAAATGATAATGTGAATTTCTAATGCTCCTAATGTCTGCAGTGAAACTCTATGTGAGAAAGCAAAAAGGAGACATTCAAGGGGTGGGTTTCGGCTTTTTAATGTTTTTTTATAGAACCCTTATATCGTATTTAACCTTTTTATCCCACCCCCCAAAAAATCGAAATGCTATTATACTCTCCTGACCTCCTATATTAATCCAGTTTTGTATCGCATATTCATGCACTTTTACTCTCCGCATCTAAAACGTGCCATGCATCCTGAAAATAATATATCTAGTTGTTTTGTCCATCGGAAAATAATTAATAATTTGATAATTATAACTTTCTATGTCAACTGGTCTTACTTAGTTGGCATTTTTTCTCTAAATCACACAATAAGATATAATCACAAAGTTACAGTCTATAAGATTTGTTCCGAGCATATTAAAATGATAGAAAACATAACCGCCGTATGAACATCTTAACTCAAAATTTCACCATTACCACGATTGGATGTTGAATTCAGCATAAGCCGGTGCTAGAAGGCATGAACGGCAACTTGCACTTTCCAGTACCGTATATGAACATGCTCAACCAAACCAAACTTGCACCATTTTCAATATTGTCGTTCTGGGCGTTCTTAAGGGATTCCCCTTTTCTCTATTTTACGATAATGTAGCTCTTTTTACATATGATTCTCCTTACATTATTAGATAGCTTACTGGCGAAATTTACATAAATTATATTTAGGTTCACAGGAGTATGGTGTATGTATTCGAAATACCTGTTTTTTTCAGATTGATTTTATTCAGTCAAGGGTAAGATACAACTGAGTTATACGTATAAGTTATGCCCTACAACTATGATTAATTCCAAATGAGAGTCAATAACAAGATATATGTTCTAAAAAATATGAAAAACTACATCATCAAGGAAGGGCGGCGTTCAATGTACTCACCCCTACCGACCACCACCCCAATACACACACACGATCTAGAAGCCAAAGTTATCATAATATATGTATTTTAAAATCATCATGTATGTTTTAAAATGCCCATGGCACAATTTTACATGTTTTCCAATCTTTTAGATCGTGTTGATAATTATCAGGTGTTTTTTCTCTGTTCCTATATTAAGCTTTTCAAGAACTGTGAAATAACATATTTTTGTAATATTTAAAGTCATATTTGAAGGCAGCTGTATTGGAATAGTATTGAAGTCAAAAAACTATTTTTTTACATTTTGTATCCTTGTTCACATATTAATTTATATTCAACATTTTGCGTCAGGTAATAAGCATGTAAATGCAATATAAAACTCATGTCTGCCCTTACCTGAAACAGAAAAACTTATTTGTTTCTAAAACATAATGTGCTATGGGGCGTGAGGGATGTTGCACTTTTTAATTATCCCTCATGTACAGACTCATCAAACCGAGTCTGCAATTTTTATCAGATGTTATATTTCCGATCCTTAAAGATCGTTCAGCACGATTATTGTTGTGTTTGTGGTATTTTTGTTTTAACTATTCGGCATTTTCTAGTTGTGTGTTTCCATTTTCCTACTTGAATAATGTTGAATCGCCATAAGGATATGTTGCTTGCTTTTAAACTTTATTTTTTGAAGCTTTATCTTCGATATGCAGACTTCAAAACCTCAAATCCCTTTTAAAAAATCAATTTTGTTCAGTTCCTCCCATTGTTTCACACGCTTTTGACTACTTGGGGACCATACGCCAATTTCCATGGATGACACGGAAGTGTCACATTGAAGGTTCCATGATAACCGCCCTATGAATACATCTGCGGATGTTACTTAATTCTTAATTTTACTATTTTTAAATTTTACTATTTCATGTTTAAATGTTGAATTCTACTTAAGCCGGCTCTAGGAGGCGTGGACGGTAGTTTGCACTTAACAGTTCCGTCCATGAACAGGCTCAATCAAACCGCGCGCCGTTTTGGGCTTTCTTTAGGGATTCATGATTTCCTGTATGTTATGTAATTTTGTATGCTGATTTTGATGCTTTCTAGGGATCTCTTTTGTTCAGATATTAAAAGCTTAATCGATGTTTTTGCTAATCGATATTTCGATCTGCTTTATGCACCATTCTTTTGATATTACGCATAAAGCTGTACACCTTTTACATCATTTGTATTGTATCTTCTTTGTGCCACAGCTCATGAGCAAATACGTGTATATCATACGCCACACCACTCCTTCATTTTCTTCGAAGCATATTTTAGTTTTTTAAAGACCTAGTTATTCCAACAATTGTAGTTGTATATACAAACGTATGATTCAATTCCGTCTTGTTTGTTTGTTTTTGTATTGCTGCTGTTATTATTGTTGTCCTTGATTTTCTGTATGCGGGGCGGTGAGGGTGTTATTTTTTTTATATAAATCAGTTTTATTTACTGTTGTCTATGTGCTTTGTTTTTTACGTTTTTATTATTAAACAATAAAGCATAGTTGTCATAACATTTGTATTTTTCAATCATCATGTATGTTTTAAAATGCCCAGGGCACGATTTTATCTACATTTCTATCCTTTTTAGATCGTGTTGATAATTATCATGTACTCGTATTACTATGAAATATTGTTTACCTTAGTTTTCAACGGCTGGATGTCTACTTTAAAGTAAGTGATTTTTCTGTTTCTATATTTTGTCTTACGTTTTTTATATTTACTCAACGTAAATTATTAAATATATTTCTTGGTGTCAATCTCCCTTCATAATAAATTTAAAAAGATGATAACAATATATGCTTATATGCTTAACTTATGTAACATACAAGTATCGTTGACCAATCTCTCATGAACAATGTACAATGCGGGGGCGGTGAGTGGGGGTGTACGCATAGTTATGATAGCAAAAAGTGTTCATATATACACACAGTCTACGCATAATTCAAATTAACTATCCTTTATTGTGAAGTAACAAAACAAACTATGTTCAAAAAACCCTTTTTAGTAAAAAAAATAAAAATACTGTTTCGCAAATATCACTATCATAATTTCCTATAACTTTGTCATTGTGTTACTATCATCTGTTGTATACGTAAGCATTCAGTTTTGACATTTGTTCTTAATGAGCCACTGAAAGTGGCGAAAAATGCCGACGCTTGATGGCCCTTTAATACATGTATTACCTTTAACTTACTCTTACATCTAAATGTTGAATGTCTGCACAAGTTATCAAAGTTACTTTTCAAACGAAATGATTACATTTAATAATAATAAAATAATTAAAACAAATACATTTTTTTTACAAATGTACTTCAAAATTGCAACACAATTTCTGCCAAAATTCTAATTCCTGTTAATGTCGCTTTTTGTTCCGGTGCTTTGCTTATAGACAGTAAGTGATTAAAAGCAGTGGATGTGGTATGACATTTGCAAATATTCATTAGGAGTGCACAGTTATTCTTTTCAAACCAAGCTTTAATTATTTTGGAGTGGAGATGTATAAGATTGAATAAACTTTATGAATCTCTTACCACAACGCCGGTGTGCTCTTCATATATACATTACAAGAGTGTGCTAGTAGAATAAAAGCAATTTCATTTTTAAATATAAAAACAATAAAAAACAGTAGTTTAAACACAATATTTGTTTGTCAAAGATATGATAGTACCAAGATATCAAGCGACTAAAATACTAACTATTCACTGAAGACATATCTTTCATTCATTTTTCTATTTACAGAAAATGGGCTGTTCTTCGTGTTTAAGATTTTCAAACGTATCCGGGGTCACCGCTGCGTGTTTTGTTGTAATCTTTGTGCTATATTCTGTCCAGCGTTTGAAACCTGACATTCGAATATTAGAGATGACATCACCTTGGAAGAGAAAAAGTGAGAATATTTTCATGTCACCTTAAATTAAATTGTTAAAAATCCTTGGGTCGTGGAAACTGTTAACGGGTTTTGGGTCATACTTACACTTAACTGTACATGTCAGTTGGTAAATTTTTATGTTTACTCACGGTGAGGGGAGGGAGGCATAATGTGCACCTCTGCGGATTATTTTAGTCACGAACGGGCCTTAGAGTAGGACATACGACTTTCCATATCTTATTCACGTGACAAAAAGATCGTCCTCGACACGCTTCGAATCCACAGCTGCAAGGTCCCTGACGCGATTCGAGCCCTGGTGCTAGGGGAGGTCGTAATCGTTAGCTTGCAATTTCCACTACTGTCCATAAACAGGCTAAATCAAACTGAGCCTGCAACATTTTCAATTTGACCGTGTTTTGGCTTTCTTTAGGGATTCTGTTTTTTCTTTATTTTAAAAATATCTGAATCAGTATTCACAAAGAGTCAATAATATTTACCTACAAATGTATGTAACAAACTGTTAAATCGAGTCTACAATATTGATTTGCAATCGCTTTTCTCTGATAGGTTTGGAATTTTTTAGAAAATTTATTCTTATACTTGTAACAATTCAGTTAACTGATAGTACTTATCCATTTAAGTGGTGAAAAAAATAGTATAGACATATTTAAAGTTCAACGTGCGAAATCCATAAATAAAACAAACAAAACAATTGGACAAATTCACTGTGAGTTTAAAGTACTATATATGTATTATGTCTTTTATCTATATTTATTTAAGTTTCCATATTTCTTACTTATTTGTATGAACATAGCAGAAAATGTATATGAATAATGTACATGTATAAATATGTTCTATATTATACTTAGATACAATCCTTACACACAGCGATGGCAGTGAAAACCATGTGAAGTATGAAGAGAATTTGGCAGGAGATAGTGTACAAATGGCAAAGTTCAATACAAGAAAACAAGAGCAAAGATTCAAAGTACAGCAACATTCAAACTTAACTGAAGAAAAAAATATTAAATCAAATGCAGTTAAAGGCAAGGTTACAATCAAAAGGGACAAAAAAATTAAAAAAGCACAGAAAGCTACACAGACACAAAGACTGCAACATTTCAGGAAAACATGCAAGAAGTATAAATTTAATGCACATTTTTATACAATGTATTTTTGGGTTTTTATTTTCAAAAAATAAAAACTTCTTATAGACTTGTTCCTAAAGTGGGGTAAACATTCATGATACAATTTTTATACATTTTAAAACAGATAAAAATGTTTTCAAGTGTTGTTTTGGCTAGAGTGTGTTCAGTAAAAAAAAAAATTTCGAAAACTTCCCCTTTTTACAGTTTTTTGTGTTATATGCAAAACCCCATTTTCCCGTATTTCACTACATAAAAATTATTTTTTAACCCCTTTAGTTTATGAAAAGACTTTTACTTTTCAACTTTTATTTAAAAGGGAGTGAAAAAATTTTGAAATCAATTTTTCATTTGAAAAATTTTCTTGAATATTATTTTAAAAAAGGGGGGAACTAGGATGGAGAGTCATTACGGACCACTTTTGTCAGAAAATCTGAGTAAAACCGTGAACCTTAACAATAAGAAAAAGCAAGAAACGTTTTGCAAGAGAGAGTAGAGCCGACGCCTTAAAAATAAACTCCCAAGCGGCGAGAAAGATACGAATAATTCTATATACAAATGCTATTCCAAACACACAAAGACATCAATAAGTAGCATTATCAAAACAGTTTACAAAAAGTTTGCCTCGTCTATACAATCAAGATCGTGCTTGACTTGGAAAGAAATGGCTAAAAAGATATGGGTCTCATTTCAAATACAGGGATATATACGAAAAACGGCACGATTTCCTAAAGAGGAATATATAAAACAGGAAGATTACGCTAGTCCAGAATATTTGATTCAGGTTGTAATGAAAGAGGTGACTACAAATCCGTTGAAACATGATGAAAAAGTAAAACAAAGAAATAAAGCATTGGTACACGCATATTCAAATGTAGATAAAAAATATATACTTAAGATACAGGAACGCTTCGCTATGGACTTTGACATGTTTCAGTATCCCATTGATCTAAAAGATTCATTTACATGAGACAGATCATCAGCATTTTTCGAAAATTTTGATTGGCACAGAAACAAAGTAAGGAAGTGAAACTGTTAACAAATTCAATATTAAGCACAGACTGAACACATTTTACGTCAGGCAGGTTTGATATCAATCTAAGCCGGACACACGAGCGGGATATTCAAAATGGACTAATTTGAATAGCATGTATAATTGGAAGCATGCAGCCCATGATAAAATTTGTGTTGATGATAAATAGTCGATTACAACATTATATGTTGAAGAGATTATAATTTTAGGCTGTATCAGCCTGTATTGGCCTGTATCAGGCTCTATCAGCTATAGGAACTTGTAGCCGGTGCTAGGGAGCGTGGAAGGTAGTTTGCATCTGACAGTATCGTCCATGAACAAACAGGCTCAATCAAACCGAGTCTGCAACATTTTCAATATTGCCGATTTGGGAGTTCTTTCGGGATTCCGTTTTCTCTAAACAAAATTTAACTGTTTTCCCCAGTTTTGTTTATAATGAATAGTTATTAGATTTGCGAGGCTCATTGACAAAAATTTGTATTGTTGTTATTTTATGACTGATGTTTTGATATAGATACAATATTGATAGTACTAAGAACAATATCATACTTGTCTTTTTCCCCCAAGCAAAAACATATCACCATACGTCATTGAGCTCGCGAGACAAGTTTCTATATCTATAAAAGTAATATCTGATAATTAAGTCGTTAAATATAAAGTTTTGATATTGCTCACTCATTGATTCTTGCTTTAGTAATATCAGAATCTGATCAGTCATTAAGTATACAGTATGCAACTGATATTTCACTGGTTGATACTTGCATTTGGTGTCGAATTTTCCTTATTTATATTATATATACAGCATTGATAGTCCTAATCTATCGTCTGTTTTTCTGAAGTAAGGATCAGTAACTTATGTCAAAAAGTCACTTTCTGTTTACTCAAGGAACTTATTTCGCACTCAAGTTAAATATCATAAAAAGTTGTTCTTCGGACGTGTTCTGCTACAATCCAGCTATTCTTGCATTAATATTACTCGCTCTAAAGAACCTATTTGAAAATCGAGTACCGCTCAAGCCGATGCTAGGGAACGTGAGGGATAATACACCTTTTCTTATCCTTTTCTTATCCCCAAGATACAGACTTGATCAAACCGAGTCTGCAATTTTCATGTAATTTTGTTGTTTTTATGCTTCCGAGCTATCACGCTTTTTACAGATTTTTATTCATGTTTAGCTATTTATTTGACAATTACCAATAAAACTTCGATCTTTCCTAATTACTTTTTTCTGCTATTCAGACTCCCTTTGTACAGATGTATCCACCAAATAATAATCTTATAAAATATTTATACTAAATAGCAATTACCCATCTTTTGGATACCTTAAAATCGGTTGATATAAATAACAATAAAAACCCTTGAACTTAAAGACTAAGGTTTAATAAAATAATATCCAAGATTTTATCACAATGTGTCGTCAATATTTAATTATATTATGATATGACGTTTGATATTTGTAGAATATTTAGTTTACAACATAACAACCCAATTCAATGCAATTGTTTATTGGCATAGAACCATGTTCTAAGCCTTTTACTAACTGGTGTCAATGGACGAAATGAGAGATTCGTAATAGTTTATAGAAATATCAAATAGATCGTATAAAGCAATGCAACATCTGTTGACGTATTGCAAACCTGGAGTTCACGTATTGCGAAGCTGAAGTTCACGTATTGCAACCCTGAAGTTCACGTATTGCGAACCTGGCTACACGAAAATGAGGTGTCAGTTGATACAAATGTTAATGTTAATCTATCGAAGACGTTCATCAAACTTCCTCCAACAGTTTCAATGGCTCTATTGGCATCGACACGGGTCGTCGAACGTTAAACGGTGAGTTCAAAGGTAACAAAGGTGTAGTTGGTGTCTTTTCAAAGCCCATATTTAAAAAGTCATTCTTTAACAATGGCAGTGGTGTTTGCGATAATGGGGTCTGTGCTTCTGAATAGTAATAGTCACGTGATTTTGCCATTAATAATAAATTTTGCATATATGCGCTATTATCACAACTGTCCGTCTTTAATACCTTCTTTCCAATCATGTTATACTGAAATTAAGAAAATAAGTACGCTTTCAATAAAATAGTTTTTGAAAATTCTCACGCTTATATTTTACAGAACCAACAAATATTCATTAATAAGTCTGGCTTCCTCAAACCTAATGTGCAACAATTTCAATTTTGCCATTTCAGGCGACCTTTTAAGTTCCCATGTTACCTATAATATAAAATGGTTCGCTTTGGTTGAATAAATAGATACAAGCAACTGTCTGAGTTTGTAAACAGTCCTTACATGTAAATATTTAGTAGTTTGAAAGAATGAAAGTGAGTGATAATAACAATTACTGATGTTTTGGATAGCACAGAAGTTAAGAACAACATTTCATGGGAAATATGTAATAAACAGATTTGTGTAAAATGGTTGTGCCAACGACAAACATTCGTATTGATAAGGTAAGTTTTCATGTTCAAATCTTGAATTGTGCTTAAGCCTGAGGGGGGGGGCGTGGACGGTAATTTGAACTTTCCAGTACCGTCCATGAACAGGGTTCAATGAAACCGAACCTGAAACATTTTCAATTTTGCCGTTTTTGGCGTTCTTTCTAAATTTTCTATTTTACTGAACATTAAAACAAACAAAAAATAATATGTATACTGGTCGATCACTTTCGATTGCAAAAAAAAAATATTTTCACTTTCAAAAATAATATAATCAAAATGTTTAGATATTTTCATAAATACTTACAACAAATATTGCTATGGTAACACCCAGGAGAAATCCTGCTGCTACATCTGTTGGGTGATGAAAATGATCTGTTATACGGGTGAACCCACATACAGCTGACAAACATATTAATCCGGCTTGCAGAAAGAACTTCAGGATAACGGAAAATTTTATTTCTAATCTGTTCTGTATGTATATCTGAAAATATATAGTAATTTCACGGTTGAAATTTAAGCATTTTCTTTGTTATTGTTATTAAATTTGTGTTGCAAGAACAATATCCTTTGGTAATTCGCGGCTAGACTTAGATATTTTTAAATAGATGCCTAACAGAATCGATTATAAAAACAAAAGGAATGTAACCATTATTTAGCATTCTGATTAAATTTGGTAAATAATGCTTTTTGCATTGTTTATTTTCATTACTTTTCAAAAGGTTTAAAAGCTACTATCCCACACATTGTAGCTTTGGGCATTTTTAAAAATAAAATGTTATCGAAGAACAAACTTTCACCACAGGCAGGTACATTTATATGGAACTAGATGATTAATACATTTCATGTCCGAAAAGAAAGAACACACAAGTACAGTTTTTGCAATGTTTATGAATGTGTAATTTTAAACTGTTGCAACGTTTTATTTTGTAAATATTTACTTAAATCATACACACACCCATTAACTGGTTGCAAGCAGATCCGTTGGTTGCGGGTAGAACAATTTTATTCTTGGTATTTATTTTATCCTGCAATCGATTGGTGCACAATATATCATAGAAAATTATAGAAAAAATCTAGAAAAAGAAATAAAAAGGAAGAACATATATCGGTAATCCGGTTCAAAAATGACATTTATAAAGTAAGTTCTGCCTGCATCAAGCTGTCCTACTCGCAACATGTTGACGGGTGTGATAAAAAGGTTGTTTATATCTGTTTCAAGTGAAACATAATAACCGTTAGGTCACAATTATCTCGTGATAACTGCAAATTTTACTTCTATATGCATTTTCAATAACTGTAAACAAATATGTTGATTTTTATAGAACATTTTTGTGTGGGAGAGAAGCTTTAATAAAGTATCATCCCCTTTGTGCATAAAAACAGAATAAATGAAAAATGATGATTTGAAATGTAACTATATGATACAACCAAAGTTTTCAATATGAATAAAATAAGTGGCATAATTATTTTCTATAGAAGAACCTTTGAGCTCGTTTGATTTTTTTATATTCTTGATTTTTTTATTTCTTGATTTTTCATTTATTCATTTATATTCGATAGCATTCATTCAGATTTATTTGGAAAATATAAAAAGCACAATGACTCTTAGTAAAAGTATATTGCTAATGCAACGAAATAAACGGAAGTTATCAAGAGCAACATTTAATCGGATGAGCAGTGTTAATGTTTGAATTATGTAGATACATTTGTAAATAATGGCAACTTTTTAGATAGTTTATTTCTGTTCTGCTAAATAAAACATTCATGAATGTTTATAAATAACACATGTTCTTAATCTGCGTGCGTCATAGGGGCACCTTAAATTTGTTTATGTCGTCCATATCAGTATCTTGCACTGGGAAAAGTTTAGATAAAAACAAATAAATAAGTAAACAGGGCTACAGGTGTGCCCAACAGAAAAGTGAAATTGAATATACATTTAGATGACGGATATACCGTATATCAATAAAAGTCCGGTTTGATACGATTAAAAGGTTTTTATATTATCAACATTCATTTTGACTATAGAATACATTTAAAGCATGCTGCAATATAAAACTAAATTATCAGAGAGATAATGTAAATTATCAGAGAGATAATAAGATAACTTACACAATAGAATACGGCCACGTACATTGAGAATGACGCATGGCCTGATGGGAACGATTGCCTGCTGTCTTGTATTTCCTTTACGTCACCTGAACACGTGTAATTTGTAATGTAACTGGAAGAAAAAGATGGAAAGAAAATTAGAATTTCAAACATTTTGCAGCAAATAAATTGATATATAAAGGTTATGTATATGATTTCATTTTTTTATTATTTTCCTTCAGAACTATAATTAAATGTTAAGAATGACTACGGTTTATGTTGTTTTTTGTTATTGTTCTATTTTTAAATAAAAATTAAGCATACAGTAGTACACATGTACAATCAACTAATTTTCATCGATGCGTAATAAATGTTTTTGGAATTTCTTGGATTTTATATATAGAAATATATTATATGTATAAAATTTTCATCTGTGAGTGTGTCACAAAAATTTGCAAACAATAACATATATATTTGTAGAGCTTTTTTGAATTTAAAAATGAAAAATATGTACAAAAAAGTAAAACAAAGCAGAATATATATCTTATAAAGATAAACAAAGAAAGAGCTATGTCTCTCAGGAATTAATACAAGCCAATTAATTCCGGTTCAACTCATATAAATACTAAGAAATTTACCCTGGACAGAATGATCTATTAAAGTCTGGTTTGCATACATCGAAGAAATTTGGTCTCAGCACGCCCATCTGTTTCTTAAAAACTTGCACAACGAATTGCTCGATGACGAAACCCACGAGAAAAACACCATAACCTTTAATACAATACGAAATATTGTCTCTCACTTGGGCTGACTTCTTTCTATTACAATCTACAGAGCGTAGAATTTCAACAACCACAACCTAAAACATATGTTGTAAATATCACCAAAAATGTTTTTGAAATACAAATGACATTAGCAAATACACGGTATGGTTGATACATTAAATGTCAACCGCAAAGTATGTATAAAATTGTTGGTTTATTTATATCTTTATATATGTATGTATTTTAAATTAATATGTTGCTTATTTATAAATATGTTGTTCTCATTGGTCTAATACCTTCGGGAATTTACATGAATCTTAAATCATAAGACATTTATACCGGACCTTTCAAGGCCGAAATGAAATATATAAACTATTTTGATAATTTGTATGAAAGGAAACACACGGATGTAATGTTAAAATACACTATAATTGACCAATTTAATATGTTCGTCTAATCACCATTGACATGTTTGGATTTTATGTTAATTCTGATTTACCTTCTTTGAAATTTCATGTCAAAATCACAATGATCAGGGGCGGATAAAAATGAGCACTTTACCGCCGTCAGTGATACAGTATCGATAAAAACAAAACATCCATTAGTTCAAACCCTTAACCGACTAGGCGACTACCTAAAGGGTCATAATGCCAAAATTCATTTTACAAAAGTCTTTGAGCATGTCTTATACAAATGGCACTTCTTGTTAAAGTGCCACCAAAATGCTATCAATGTGACTTCTTCCGACAGTTCCTTATGTGCATGCATCTTGTGTTATTTTTGGGCAACTAATTTTGAGAAAATCGACATTTTTCACTGTATATGAACATGCTCTTTTGTTCTTTTTTGTTCCTTTATTGTTTTGAATGTATCGGCTAAATAAACATTTACTTACAACAGCAACTGATATAGAAAACCCTCCGAGTACAAGATGCGAGGCAGATACAGTGTCGGGCTTATAGGGGTAACTTAAAGTGACATCATCACAGAAGAACCCTCTATCATAGGGTGTTATAAAAAGAAACAGAATCAAAACTGGTACAGCCGCTGTAAAATAGAAAAAAAATATATAATATATTAGTCATGTTATGAAATAAAAGAAAACATTGTCAAAAACCAAACTAGTGTTTTGTTTCTAAAATGATTGAATTGAGTGAATTTCTTTTATATTATATACTTTTATGGTGCCATCTGATTTATAGTTTGTTTTTTTTTAAATAAAAAAACATGCCAATAACTTGAAGAAATCTAGAGAGAAAAAATGCGTCACCAATGGTATATGTTAAGATATTAGAAAAACAAGTATACATGTGAATGCTAATCAATTTGTCAAAAAGTTTAATTATAAACATATTCATGATAGGATAATAAAGATGAATATTTTTAATATGCTGATTGTTTATTTTCATTTACTGTTTTATAAAAACATTTTTAATCTACTATAATTGTGTTGGTGCTCTGTAAAACCAAAAAATAAAACAATTTTACATTAAACTGGCCATTCTTGTCATAAACTGACTAAATGTTCTTTAGACTGTACTCATTTTAAATATAAATATAAATTATTCGAATTACTGAAATAAATGTGATTGTATGCAAGCATGGATTAATAGGTTTAAACAAGATGACTGGCCCCGCCCCCTTCACCGTTTTGATTCGATAGCCATGCTTTATCATTAATCACTTTAAATTAAGATTATCATAAAAAGCAAACCTTAACCACTGAATTCAATAATTCGGTTGAACCTCTTCATCTTTTATCTTATTCAGTTAAAAGTAAAACTTAATATTGTTATAAAGAATACCTGAACCGTTCAATCAATTCAGTTTTTGTTCTTGTATACTAAATAGATAAAAGGATTCCTATAGAAGTTAAGAACTTGTTTACATGACACATTTACTTTTAATTGTATCACTTAGGTCTTTGAATATGCCGTTTAGATTTATCACAGGGCATTAATGTTTAACGTTTTTAATGTTTCAAATTATTTAGATATTTTAATGTTTAGAATTATTTTTTTTTTTTAAAAATTAATGATTTAAAATTAAAATATCGTATGTGTAAGTGTAATTTATCAATTTAATTAATGATTGTATGAATAGAAAAACAACGTGAACAGGAATTTTTAAAGCTTTTAAAGCGTTTCAAATTATTTATATGTTTATATGTTTAAAATTATTTAAACTTTTTTAATGATTAAAATTGAAAATATCGTATGTGTAAGTAATAGATATTTGATACCATTATAGTATTCTAAGTGTATTTTATTAATCTAATTCTTAAACGTATGATAAAAAAGTATCTTTGATCGGAAAATAATATGTGTTGATGTGCAAAAACGCTTTTAGGGGTAATACCAACAATATGAAGAAAACATGTTAACAATTGTTATTGTTATTGCTTTTCGATGGTTTGATTCGTTTTATTTTCAAATGAGATAAAATTAACGTTTTCATCATAAAATATATGTTAAAAGTGAAAGCAAACAATGAATCGCTGACATAGTGCAAAACAGCTGTAAATGATATTAAGAATAAAGAAAGATACAGTCATCCCTGATTTTTGTTGTTTTTGATGTTTTTTGTTACACTCCTAACAGTGAGATTACTTTTTGTTTGAATTTGTTTTTCTAAATGTTATATAGAATTAATGTTTCAGTAAAGAAAGAGCAAAGGTGAAAGGGTACAGTACTACACTAGATTGTTGATGTGATTTTTTTATATCTGTACATTATAGCACTCCCAAAAAAGAAAAGATATAAAATTACCGTATCAATAATGTAACATTTTGTTTGATATGTTTTCTAAATGGTTTATGAACCAGGGGTGAATAACGAATAAGGTTATAATGCAATATAATGTGTTCTATTGTTTTGGGTGATTTTTTGGGGTGAATTTTATATACATATGTATACATATATATATATATGTAAATTCCAAACTGGAGTATGATTAAGTAACACGAGTCATAAATAATTTGTTGTTTGAATCACTATATCAGACATGCATCATGGATTTCAACTTGTAAAGTTGAAAATGACTGAAGCATCAAGTTTATGTAAATATTTAGTACAAAATATGTCAATTTAATATAGTACAAAATCAGTCATTTCGTATGAATAAAACGGAATAAAAGTATGCACTAGATGACATTTGCAAAAGCTTTCAAAAGGAAACATCATAAAGTGATATTTATCCGCGTTAAGTAACCTTTAAAAAGCCATGTATATCTGAAAGTGATATTTCAAGTGAACTGTGTGTAATCGTGCTTTACGAGGTCTAAGACTGGTTCGTTAATATCTTGAATGGTACATAGTGCTTTTTTGTTTACATGTACATATATATAACATTTTAACCGGTAAAAATGGAATATAATCGTTTGATACAAAATTTATAAAACTTTCATATACATTTAAATTCAAAAGAGATATACAGCTACCATTTGTTGTCTATCGTTACCAAAACTGTTCTTTTTACATTGTCAAATAAATTGGCATAATTTCCCCTCGGTATTAATAAATTGATACATATACTTTTGTGTTTAATTATCATGATATCAGATCACCCTTTTTACAAATGTATGAAACGACAAAAATATACATAAAGAAATGAAATGACATATGAATGATATAGTTATTGTATACGATATATTAAATACCATATTAAACTTAGCATGTAGCTACTTGAGATAGAAAAATATCGATAATTTCCAATTTATTTTTATAGTTGAAATATTATGAGAAATACAGCCCTTACCACACAACCATACGACTATATCAACACATAATTGACATGTTATCCAATGCCGCCATTTTTCAGAAGTATTCGAGTTATTTTCCATAGCGAATAAGAAACACTAAAATCTGTCAATGTGTTAAACTTCAATCGATATTTGTAAGATTTCCAACACAGATAAAGTTAAGTTTTATCATCAGCCAAACGTCCACACATACTGATGCAAACTGTATTTATATACGTGTTTTATATCAGGATGTAAACACGTGACGGTTGTGCGTTTGTTAAAGACGTCACGCACAGTATGAATTGAAATTCAATCTGACCTAGTTAATAACCCAATACAGGTGGTGCTAAACATATCTCACAAAGTAAACAATGTACGTAATATTCTATTTAAAATGAGTCATCTTTTCCTCAGGTTTTACCAGACTTGATAACGCAGCGGATTTTGAAACGCCTCATTTACAAGTATTTGAGATAATAGGACGTGCATATTTATATTAATATTAATAGAACAGCAAATGTGATAATAGGCCCAACGCCATGCAACGCCTCGATCGCAGGTTTTTAATTGAAAAGAAAATAAGATTATATAGCATAGAATTAACCATTTTTTGTGTGTTTTTTTGTTTTTCTCTATCGATGATAATTTTCAAAAGGTCATCAAGAAAAACCTAATACATGTAAAAACAAGAAAAACCTAATACATGTAAAAATGATAAAACCATTACTAATAAGGAAAGGAAGTTCATTTTTATATGTCACGTACAACGATAAATGATTTAGGTCAACGAAAGTATTAATAGCTATAAAGTCGTTCACATTAAGGATTTGTACTTTACTAACTAAACAATCAAGTGATTGAGGGGATACAACAAGGTGCTTTATTAACACGTTGTCATTTCCTTGTAATAATGACAGTGCGGTTAATTTACCGCTACTATCATATTTTCTACTGTACCTCGTATCGAATACCAACCACTAACATTTGTTAAAATATTAGCCAGTAATCCTATAATATTAACATAATACCTTACCATAATCAATCATTTTAAAAGTACATTCACCTTAAGAATAATAGTTATTGTTTTTAACTTTAATCATCTGTATAAAGGAACAGTAGATTTGTATGTTTTTATTAACTGTGTGCACGTCTAAAGAAACAATACTAAAAGCTTATTTTACTTTTTGTTACGATTTATTATTATTGCTATAGATAAATGTTTTCAAGGATACAAATAGCTATGTAACTTTGCTTATAGGTTTGTGTTCATTAATAAGTATTTACAAATTTAAATTGGTCAAGAACGGCACAGAAATTATGTTTTGAAAACAGTTGATTGACTAGACTGATTAATAGTTAGAGGATTGATCGAAGTAAATGTGTTAAGATTCATTGGAAAGACTGAAATCTGATTATACAACAATAAATACAATGAGTTTATACAACAATAAGAGTCCAATATGACATTATCTAGACATAAATAAGTAAACGAAGTCGACGATCCTTTAAAACTAACTTCCACAGATATTAAATTCCATTGTATATCTATATATCCAGGGGTTTCCTACAGAAATAGTAATTTCAAGATAACCCTAACTTAATCTTAGCATAACCATATATTTTTGGTCATTCGCAATCATTACTTTTAATCAAGTATCGCGTAAGCCGGTGCCAGGGTGTGTGACAGATATTGCACTTTACATTGCTTCTCAATGTCCCTCAGAAACTACTAAATAAAAAAGAATCTGCAGGTTTTAACTACTCGTTTTATGCTCATTTCCCTCGATGAAGAAGCTTTCTCATTTCGAAAACAGGCGTATTCGCCATTTTCATGTTCTGCTTAAAACGGTGAATGCGGGCCTGGCCGACTTGCAATTTCATTACCGGCCATGAACAGGCTCAATCAAACCGGACCTGCAGCGTTTTCAATTGTTGTCATTATGGGCGTTCTTTAGAGGTTCCTTTTTCACTATCATATTTAAATTGCATCTTTTCATTGGCAAGTTTTAACAAACTAGAGAACAGAGAGGTTCTAAATAAAATGTGTATCTGTATAAATTACAAAATAAGTAGAAAACATTTATGTCAGACTAATATAGTTCAAACTACAAGGAGAGTATTGGAATATACATGATCAAGAAATGTTGCAAAGGTGAAAACCATAAAAGTATATATATTTTTGGTGCTATATGCTTTTAAATAAAAAAAATAGAGTAAAACAGAATCCCTAAAGAAATTCCAACACAAAATAATTGAAAATATTGCAGGCTCGGTTTGATTGAGCCTGTTCATGGACGGTACTGGAAAAACCGTGTGCATATGGTGTACTGAGCAAAGAGGGATTGAGAATTTGAGAGTTCTTTGAGTTCATTTATTTATGATTTAACCTGTAATTATTTCCTACTTATTATTTATTTACAACGAAAATATTTACAAATCATTGTAATTCCTATTTTTCTTACATAAATAAGTTATGGATCTAAAGGTGGATAGGTGTACTTCAAAAAGTATTTTAGGAAACTATGCAAAGGGAAATAGTAAATATCATGATATCAGCAAAAATGACAAAAGAAACAGAATTAAGTGACCTATTTGAGAACCGTTGTGGAATGCTTTATAACAAAAACATCACCAGGGATTTCAACCCAGTTTATTTAACTTGATCCCCCATGAAAGCATAAAAGTAAAGTACACTGTAATTAAAATGTGCTCCCGCAAAGAAAATACAAAACACAAAAGATAGATAGATAATCTACAACATAATTATTTCATTAGATACAAAATAATTATGGACGAAAATATAGACGATTGAACTGCTACATCTTTATATACTGATGTAGGTAAATCGAAAACAGCAACATTTAAACTGAATGTTTTAGGCTAGGTGACTCTTTGATCAAATTGCTTTGCTGAATATGCTAAATCAAATTGCTTTGCTGAATATCCTAAACACTGTTTTCTAACCATTTGGAAAAGTATATAGTTGTACAAAGTTCACCAGTTTATTTTCTATACATTGCGTATGTTTTTTCTTTCTTTTCATTTTGGTTTGCCGGTGAACCCGGTCATGTTTGGTGTCCTGCTGGGTTTCTTGCTGGTGGTCCTGTGTTTAGGAATGAAAACATGTATTGAATGCCGCCCTTACTTGATGATCTTATTTTCCATATATTAGATGATGTAAGAAGCACTCCGCGTATTATTTCAGGCACGAGCGTGCACGTTAATAGAAGCAACGTGAAAGAATGATTGTATTAAAGTGTTCAAAGTAAAAAAATTTAGACCCCCTCGGAAGAAATTAAAATAAACTTTAAAAAATCAGGGTTGGTTTAAGTGAGTATTTAGCATATGGGGTCATGAAAACTTCTAAAGTCGGTGCTAGGAGACTTGATGTTTAATTTAAAGATTTTAAAATATATTAATTATACAATTTTTGAACGGTGTGAAGCATCTGAAATGTATTTTAACAGCTTAGGTCTATTTAAATATTACTCTTTTTTGTTTTCGTTAACGCATTGCAGGTTTATGTACATGAATCTGTGCTGAAATCATTAATCATTAGGTGGGTTCTTGTTACCTTTTTTGTACTTTTGTTTTGTAATTAACTATGAACCAAAACATGTCAATGAGTTATTATGCATATTTTTTATTATTGTATTATAACAATAAATATGATATTTCAATAGTATTGCAATAGTATTTTAAACGACATTTTAGTCATGTTCTAATCTTATAAGCAGGTAATCTTGTTGTACAATAGCATAAGAAAAAAAGAATCCCTACAGAAACCCCTAAACTACAAAATTGAATATTTTCCAAGCTCGGTTATATTGAGTATGTTCATGGTTGGTAAGTGCAAACAATCGTACATGTACTCTCAGCACTTCAATATTTCTGAATGACAATGGTGAAAACTTGAATTTACAAACAACCCATATGTGTTCACACGGCGGTGATCAAACATCGTTATTGTTTATTATGAACGTTCAGTATCAAGGTCTTTTCATCGAAATTGGAAATTAGATATGCATCTGAAAAGAACACTATAACATTCTTTTGGTGATAAAGTAAAAAAGAGAAAAACAGAATCCCCAAAGAACGTCTAAAACGGCAAAACTGAAAATGCTGCATGCTATGGCTTATCCTAGAAGACGACATTTTTAATTTTGTCGTTTGGGCTTTCTTTAGGGATTCTATTTCTCTGTATTTGATTGAACCTGTTTATGGACGGTTCTGGAAAGTGCAAGTTACCGCCCATGCCCCATAGCACCGGCTTGAGCAGTATTCAGCATAATGAAATTGCGAAATTCTAAAAGTAAGAAACATCGGCAGATGTGTCCATACAACTCTTTTCAAATAATAAGGCGCTTTTCAGTGTATCTCATATATTTTAATTTTCTTCGAAATTGAAGTTTTACCCTTAATTTGAAAATTGTTTGTAATATATTTTCCCAGATATGAATTTGGATCAGACATTAAGTTTCTTGCATTTCAATACAAAAAAAACAACAAAAAATGAGCATACCAACAGTACAGAGCCTGGTCAGACTGCTCGGATGTAGAGCTGTTTTGGCTCTAGTCTAATGATTTCAGTACCGAAAGTTTTAGTTTAAAAGCTTGGTTAGATATAAACATATGTTTGTAACATGTTCATGAAACACCTTTAAACCTGGTCTGATATTTGTTAATATAGATGAAGAATTTTATAGATACGAATATGAACATAACGATGCACTCTAACTTTTTCTCTATGCTTCGGAACGGCTGCGTTTTTCTCCTTTTTTTTAGAAAGTCAAATTAATCAAATTTTAATGAAATCTGGAAACAAAGTGATCCCTCGGAAGCATTAATCACAACAAAATACATAAGAATTGCAGACTCGGTTTGATTGAGTCTGTACATGAGGGATAATGAATAAGTGCAACATCCCTCACGCCCGCTAGCACCGGCTTGAGCGGTACTCAATTCTCAGCATCAATAATTCCGAAGGACCAGAAAAATATAACAACACTGAAGTGAAGTAAGGGGGGAACTTTTTACAGCTGCCACACAGCACTTGAAGTCATTTAACAAAATGTGTTTCTTTTAAATATTTATCATGAGAACAAAACATAATAATAATCTCGATTATATTTTGCCGTCTTGGGTTTTATTTAGGGATTTCGCTTTTTCTCGACGGAGCCTGCTCATGGACGGTAGCACATTGTATTTTGATTGGCCCAGCATCATCTTTTAAACATGGAAATGGTTTTAACTAGAAGAAGTTCACATGGCAATATTCTTAACTTAATTAAAGAA